TTTTTTTTTATTTTTTTTTTTTTTTTTTTTTCTTTATTTTTTTTTTATTTTTTTCTTTTTTTCTTTTTATTTTTTTTTTTTATTTATTATTTTTTATTTTTTTTTCTTTTTTTCTTTTTCTTCTTCTTCTTCTTTTTTTATTCTTTTTTTTTTTTTTCTTTTTTTTATTATTTTTTTTTTATTTTATTTTTTTTTTTATTCTTTTTTCTTCTTATTTTTTTTTTTTTTTTTTTTCTTTTTTTTTTATTTTTTTTTTCTTTTCTTCTTTTTCTTCTTATTCTTCTTTTTCTTTTTCTTTTTTTTTCTTCTTTTCTTCTTTTTTTTTTCTATTTTTTCTTCTTCTTCTTTTTTTTTTTCTTCTTCTTTTTCTTTTTTTTTTTCTTCTTCTTATTCTTTATTTTTTATTCTTCTTATTTTTTTTCTTTTTTTCTTCTTTTTTTTCTTTTTTTTTTATTATTTTTATTCTTTATTATTTTTTTCTTTCTTTTTTTCTTCTTCTCTTTTTTCTTTTTCTTTTTATTTTTTTCTTCTTTTTTTCTTTTTTCTTATTTCTTCTTCTTATTATTATTTTTTTTCTTTTATTCTTATTCTTCTTTTTTTCTTCTTTTTTTTTTTTTTTATTTTTTTTTTTTCTTCTTCTTCTTTTCTTCTTATTTTTCTTTTCTTTCTTCTTTTTTATTTTTTCTTTTTTTATTCTTTTTTTTCTTTTTTTATTATTTCTTATTTTTCTTTTTCTTCTTCTTTTTATTATTTATTTTCTTTTTTTCTTCTTTTTATTATTATTATTTTTTTTTCTACTCCTTTTTCTTCTTCTTCTTCTTCGTCTTCATCTTCTTCTTTTTCTTTCTTCTTCTTATTCTTATTTTTCTTTCTTCCTTCTTCTTCTCTTCATCTTCTTCTTCTCTCTTCTTCTTCTTCTTCTTTCTTCTTCTTCTTCTTCTTATTCTTCTTCTTCTTCTTCTTCTTTTACTTCTTCTTCTTTTTCTTCTTCTTATCTTCTTCTTCTTCTTCTTCTTCTTCTTCTTCTTCTTCTTCTTCTTCTTCTTCTTCTTCTTCTTTCTTCTTCTTCTTCTTCTTCTTCTTCTTTTTCTTCTGCTTCTTATTTGTATTATTATTATTATTATTATTATTATTCTACTCCTTTTTCTTCTTGTTCTTGTCCTTCTTCTTCTTATTATTATTATTATTATTATTAATATTATTATTATTAATATTATTTATAATAATAATAATATTACTATTATTATTATTATTCTACTCCTTCTTCTTCTTCTTGTTCTTCCTCTTCTTCTTCTTCTTCTTTTTCTTTCTATTCGTCTTTTTTCATATTTCAGGGTTTACATTGTTTCTATTTTTTTTCCTTTTTTAATTCTTTTTCGTATACATTTAGAATTAAATTTTTTTTTGAAGATTTTTTTTCCAGAGTTTGTCCTTCGGTGAGGCTGTTGTCAACCAAACTATCTTTCTCTGTTGTGAATATAGAGACTACTGCAGCAAATATTTCTTAGTCGTTTTGAAAATGCAATAACTTAAAGCATCGTATTTCACCGACTGTATTTTACGAAGCAAGAGTATCTCAACCTGTTACGACTAGTGAGGAAATAGGAAAATACCTATGTGAAGGCGTGATATGTTTAATACTGTCATTTGTTATCCTTTAACGTTTATTTTATTGTCACCTACAAAGATTAGCGAGTTAAAAAGTCTATTTATGAGGCTGACCAATGCTGCCTCTATGTAGAGTTTAAATTGGCAGTCATGTATTGCTTTAACCCATTCTATCTTTAGAAATTGCTATTTTAACTAATAACATGACACGATATCAAACCAAACAAACAGAAACAGTTTAGTTACTCTCAGACAAAGGCGTATCAATATGGTTTTCAGCTAGGAAGTGTGTGCACTGTGCTTGCAACTTTCTTCATTAGCCTACGAAGATAAAGGAAGTAATTGATAAATGTAAATATAATGTTGAAACGACAAATGCAAGCCAAGTTGCGTTGTGTGAAATAAATTTAAGTAATCCTTGGCGTAGAGGTGTCTACTGTAACAACTGGATTGAGCATATATTATATATCACAAACTGTATATATTTTAATTAGTCCCTAGAACTTTCCAGGACGTTGCAGGACCAACCCCAGAATTTGCTGGCTGATTTGAATTTACTAGACAAACGTTTTTTGCCAGTGCTCAGTGACCGGTTAGTTCTCGATAACCTTGTCGAAACTAGAACACGTCGGTCTGATACCACATCAACCGCAGTTGGAATCGAACCGGGTACCTTGGAAATACAAAGCGCATTCGTAATGCCCTAGTCACAAAATATAAATGCATATCACATGTAGAAAGACAAAACACACAGACCTTAGTTGTTTAGTATCATATCGGCGACCGGGTCGTCCAGTGGCTTGCCAGTAGACGACTTCGTCAAAGGTCGGGACAGTATTCGCATCCGTCGCTAGAGATCGCATCGACACTGCAGGAGTCCTTTTCAGAGCTCTTGATGGCCTGCAATGCTAGGCAATTTTATAAGGGCGCACACAACCTGGTCACACTTATAACCTAAAGCTTCTACTTCATTGCTTTTGGCTGAAAATGAATGTTTTCCCGCAAATCCAGCCGGCTAGTTGAATATTAAAAGAGTTAATATACCCCCATATAAACTAGGAATGTATTTAAGCATCTATATAAAAGGTAGATGAAAGGATGCTTGTCACGGCTCGCTGATCAACAGTACAGAGACACAGACGTATCATGGATTACAATGTAAGAAGTTTGTATTAGATATCTCAGTTGGGTAATAAGAGAAACAAAAAGCCAATGGTATTCCGCGGTAGATATCTGTGGTTCAGGCGTTGAGAAGTCGCTTCGTATTACCTAGGTGCCAGGTACAATCCAACAGCAGTGCTATCGAAAGCCGACCGTCCAGTAAGCAATGGCAAATTAATTACCGTAAACTTCATTAGTTTAATCCTAAACAAACAAACAAAAATGCTAGAGGTTGATTATTTAACGTCCTGTAAAAGGTGCAAAATTACCTTGTTTATTAAAAAAAAAATATGGAAAACAATAAAACTGAAGTGGTTATATTTACATGGTAAGGGTCATTTATGTTTTATTTTCAGAAAGCAGAGGCACACTAGTGAACGTAAAATTACATAGGTAATCCAAAAGAATGCTGTGGTTGGTTCTGCAACGTCCTGTAAAGGATACGCAGCAAATTCTTCCACTGAACAAAGTACACACTCACTCTGTGATAGAAACAAATACGTTGTTTGTGTTTGTGTGTGTGTGTGTGTGTGTGTGTGTGTGTGTGTGTGTGTGTGTGTGTGTGTGTCTATGTGTGTTTTTGTTTTAGCAAAACCTGAATATGAGTAATATTTGCGAAGATCATGAATATATTTACTGGTGTAGGTTATCAATGGGGTCCCTGTATTCGAAGGGAGGCTAGCCCCACTTCACCTACACATTAAAGGCAACTTCTGGCGAGATTTCATGCGACTGGATGTGTTGGGCTGAAATGCGCAGATATCGCAGCCTATCTGTAAACCATAAGACAGCGTAGCAGTCGCCGTTTTAAAGGATAAAACAAAGGTTGATGACATATATCATTTGTGAGGCTTGAATGAGGTAACAACAACAACAAAACAAGAATCGTGGGTACTTTGCTTTCACCAGGACCAAATACACACTCTTTGTTAGATTTGGGAAAAAAAGTAAGCATTAAAAGTCTATGGTTAAGCACCTGCAAGGAAATCAGGTTAAAATGTTGAGAGCCGCATCTTTCCTGTAGCAACATACAGATGTCGGTCGTTGACCATCTCAAAGTCCCAAAGAATGACAACTGGAAGTTTGAGTTAAAATGCTATAGAAAGATTCTCAGAACCTCGTGGATAAAGGAGAGACGAAATACTGACATTTTACAAGATCTGAACGTCAAGGAAGATTGGCTAATAAACAACATTGTGTGTCGGAAGCTCAATTATTGTTGCCATATCAAGCGCCATGGTGGACTGGAAACAATAACAGCAGAAAACATTGTACCAGAAAGAAGAGGAATATGGACAGATATAAGAGACTCATTAGAGGTTGGAGAGCTGGCGGGCGACCGAGTTTCCTTCAAGCAGACCGGGAGCGACGTTCTGCACAGGACCTGCTACATGAGCATTGACTATTGGATAAAACCATAAGTTGTTTGTCTGCCTAGTTTAGAGCCTTTTCTTTTCACAATACTGGCACACTGTCTTGACTCATACCGTTACTGCTAAACGTTGCACTTGTTTGCAATTGGAACAGTGAAGAACATGTTATTTCCACTGGCACAGAAACGAAGCAGTTGTAGGCATGCAGTGATTTAATGAGTATGCATGAGGAAGATAAAGAAGGACTAGATTCGAAGACATTGGTTAGAGTCTCTAAAGCAGTCGGAGCTGACACATACCAGTTTCATATTTGTGCCAGAGCATGCAGGTAGGCAAGGAAATGAGCAAGCTGATTGGCTTGCAGGTAAAGCTACTGTGGAGGTCGTAGAAACCATGGACCATGCTCACATACTGAAAGCTCTACCAGAAGTAAGCCGTTTACGAGAACCAAGTGATGAATATAAACATGCAGTCATGACCAAACTGCATAAAAAATATATTAAAAGAGGTGTTGTAGACAATAGGACTCAGCGGGAAGCCAAAGAAGAAAAAGAATCCGACACAGAAACGGTGTCGTGAGCCGCTACACGCTGCGGGATTTACTAAGGAGGGGATCCGGGCACTTATAGACTGAATGGTTATATGTGCTATGAGGATAATCTGTCGACTAACTAAGTTATAGATCTACAGCTGGGCCCTCGACTAACTGAGACCTTTGATTACTAGGCGTAGAACAGGCCCGATCAATCGTTACACGGCTATTGGGGAGCAGATTTCAACGGGCTGCTGTGACTGTAGTCGACAAACATCATCATCATTATCGTCATCATCATTATGATATTTTCGTATCTCTGACAGAAACTGGCTACTCTTGTCCTGATCTTCGTGATGGCGGCTGCCTTTGCTGACGGACAACCTAAAGGTTCGTAGAGTCAGAAACAAACCCTGCTTATGTTAGTTAGCCACTGGGCGGAGAACCTGGTGCAGTAGCTAAACATTCGCCTGCGGGTCGAATGGTCGTGGGTTCAGGTCCTGATGGAGTCAGGCTCCCAGTGCGACCCACCCTGGATTGGGTACAAGGTATTGTCATGGGAAGTAAAGGCGGCCGACGAGATGCTGACCACATCATCCATCAAGAACTGATTGGTCTATAAAATATAGGTCTAGTCCTATGTACGCAATACCTCTGAAGGTGTGGAAAAGGGTCGTTTGCTTTTTTTTTAATTCCTTTATTTTAACTGACCAACTGGCGGTCTTGTGCTAGGACTTCATGATTTTTGTTTACAGAATGTATAACAATATAACTAGGATATCTTTGCACTGGATCCGACATGGGCATAGAAATAACGGAAGACAACAAAAACCTGGAAAAGGGAACTAGAGAGTGAAGTTTAACAGATTGGGAAGACCTGCGTGTGATAGCGAAGGATAAAACGACCTGGCGTGAGTTGGTTGAGCGTCTATGCTCCCTACTTGGGGATAGAAGGCAGACGAAGAGGATAGGTCCTTACATCTCCATCAAGCACTTCTTTGAAGCAGCTTAAGTCGGGAAGAAAAAAAAGAAGAAAATATTTTAGACTGATACACGTCATACGATCATCTGAAGACTAAATTCACAATGCACAGATATCTACAATTGCAGCCTCCAAGTGTCGTGTGGGCTGGACATACTTTGGTGGGTCTTGCTACGCTTTTGGAGACATCCCCAAAACTTATGACGATGCTGCGGTAAGTGTAGATATCAGCTTATTACATCACATTGCTGTTTGTCACAAGTGATCGCCTTATTGTTTTCGTTTTTGTTGCGCCAGTGGTTATCAGATGAGGAGACCACATGCCTATATGAGGGCTGCGATGCAACACATATCTTCCACTGATGAATATAGCTTGAGTTCTATTGGAATGCCAAACGGCCAAACTTAGGACCTATCTACTGCACGTAGCGAGCATGTGTGTGGCAAATACCCTGTGTTCTGTGGTGTGTGTCCACATGGGTAACGTTCTGAATTCCGTTCTGAATTGCTTGTTCATACAGCTGCAGAGTCGGTTGTGCCCAGTACGTAATCTAAACATATTAGCCTGCTTTTTTATGTGAGGAGATTATGGCCATTTCTGCATGTTAGAAAAACAATTGCGCGCGCGCACACACACACATGCACAGTAATGGCCCAGTAGTGAAATGCATAAACATTTGCAGAAAGGCTGATTGTTTACAAACGTCATCATCACGTTACATATTCGGCCAAATTTAGATCCAGTGACGACAGCATGTGTTGTATGATGGTGACGAGAAGTGTCAGGAGGCTAATAGGAATCACTCTGAGCATCTGTATTAACTTCACACATCACATTTTACTCGAATGTGTCTCTTTGTGTCTCAATAAATTTAACATCAAAACGTTCATACATGTTGTTATTTTAGAAACTCCATGCCAAACAGGATGTTTTTCAAACATGGAAAATATCGTGCATGTAGATAAATTTCACTGCTGGACAATTACTGGGATTTGGTTAACACAGTATTTGTCATCTAGAGCTCCCAGTCTTTTTTTTTTTCCCCCCTTATTCCCTTCTATCCGATTCAGTCAATTTAATATTATGGATTGAATATTTCCATTACCTGGCATAATTTCCTGTCAGCTTCTAGAGGAAATACTCATTTACAGCGTTTGGAAGCTGGTCGCCACACCCAACCCTCCTCCTTTCTCATCCAAGGTTTGGACAGGTAATGCCGTTTTCTGCTTTAGAACATCGCAAACCGAGTCTAAAATCTATTCGTTATTTATGAACTGACTGGGTAATTTTACTCTGAGCAGTGTGTTTTTGCTTTCTGAACTGCACAACGCTAATCATCATCATGCGCCTTGTCGTTGAGCGCAGGCTGTCACGTTTTATCATCTCGTAGATCATTACTGTCACTGATCAGGCCAATGTTCTTGTGCTGCCGCTTCGATATGTCTAAGCATTTCAGGTGTTATCTCTTGTTCTCCTCTGGCAGTAATCGTGCCAGTTACTAAAGTAACCCGACTGTCTACGTCTACAGTTAAAGTAAACTTTTGAGATCACACAACGTTTCTGTGGCAAACGATGAAAGTGACTCATCGGCTGTTACTCAGTCATCAAAGGAAAAATACGGATTCAAAACCAAGGTTTCCGGCCCAGCATGCAAGCATTTAGACACTATCATCATCACGGTCCAACTTTCTGATCCATTGTATGCCACATAGGGCTCGCAGTCTATTTTTCAATTTCCTTCTGTCCTGTGCAATCAGTTGGATATCGTGGATGGAATCGTCCTGCAGCTTTGTCTTTCCTCAGGGACGTTAGAGTTTCTCTTAGACGTCCTAGTTTATTTATTGTCCTAATTTCACATTTCAGTCCTTGTTTTGTGACTCTCTGCTCCTCTCCTCAGAATATTTCAAAACGCAGCGCTATCTTCTGTGTTCTGTAACTGTTGATACCGGTGGTTGCCCAGACATCCCTCTAATTTCTTCACCCCCTCTTGAATTCATCCTACTGTAGTTCCATAATTTTCCTTAGGTATTTGTTTCGAGTGCATTTAACTTTCGTGAGCCGCGTTAGCGCAGTCGATAAAAGACTCGCTTTCAAATCCAGCTTCGACTCGCTGCAGCCACGGTCGGTGTTTGAAACCGGGCGGCTCACGGGGTTCACACAGCCTTTAGGACATGGGTACCAGAGTTGACACTCTGGGGTAAATGGAGGAACGTCGCTGTAGCTACAGAGTTACGTGCGAACGGCGACAGAGACAAAAGAGTTTCTTATCAGTTGTCCGTACTGGTGGCAGATCACGTATGGTTTATAATCGTGTGCAATGACGCTCGTTCACATCTGCTGACTTTACCTTTTTAGAGCTTTCTACAAAAGTTTGAAGTTTACAATTTGAAGAACGGATCAACATCATGGCACACGGGTAGTAACCCATAAGTGCCCTGTTCTGCCTCTAACTCAAGACTGAGTCCTAAGTAGCTCAGCGCAGTGCATGGGCTCTGTAGCAACGGTGAGGATCCTGACTTATTTTTGGGAAGATTTTGAACTTCAAATTTGTCCCGGGCAGCACCGTCAGGCTACATTTTTTTTCGATTTCCAACTGCCAAAAGATTCTTACGTGCGCAACAATACACACGGGTCGTCCTATCTCACTACCCAGAGACCACGGGACATTACTAGAAGTCCACGTGAACAGAAACAAATCCCAGCCTTTACAGGAGCCTGAACCCGGGACCTCTAGCACTCAAGGCGAACAATTTACCTCAAAACCACGCAGCCCCATTACTTTCTATACAACACATTATAAATGTTAAAAATAACATATACAATAACTAATGTGTAATTTTGCAGGCCTTTTGTGTGACACACGGCGGATACCTAGCAGAGGTCGAAAGTGTTCAAGAGAATAACTGGTTGATAAATAAACTCACAGCCTCAAATTGTAAGTTATTGTTTGCATGTAATGTCATTATCAGTTGCATGCCGACTGGCTTAGGCAGTCTTCAACAAACTGTCGCAGATCGTGAACAGACACCAATCGATGGCATCACATAAACTGTCAAGAAACACCTGGCGTTGCCTTTCTCTGTCTATTTTTCCACATATGTTGCTAGTGGTCAAATCATGTTCCAGTTTTCTTCTTCTGGTAACATAACCCGCCCACCACCTCTTAAAGACTATCAATTTCTGATAATGCTATTTTTATACGTTTGTATTTAGGAGAATGCTGTTGTTTCTCTCCTCATCGTCCTCCTCTTCCCGCTGATCCTACCTCTCCATTTGTAAACAGTATATATACAGTGAAAGTGGATAATATGTGTTCCATGAGAATTTATTAGACATGCAATTGCTTTTGCAGTTGGTTCGGTTTGGATAGGAGGTTCGGAGACTCTGCACAGAGGGACTTTCCTGTGGGTCAACAGCGGCAACCCACTTATCTTTGCGGACTGGTCGTTCATGCAACCCATTGACCCACCTGGAGTTTGTGAGTGTACTTTGTGTGAACTTTTTGTAATATAATGAAAAGATATCAAACCAAACCTAGAGTAGAACCAGTCAGCAACACAATTTAATGAACACCAACAAAAGGTGAAGGTTGTGGTTAGAAAACCTTCATCAGTAAAATACCTTAATCTACACTACCATAAAAACAAATAAGAATACACAAACATTATTTAACTGACGTTCTCCGATAGTCATCACGCCCGCGTCTGTGCAGTAGAATATCTGACACGTGTGTGTCCACCGGAATGCATACTGACCAGAAGAAAAAGGCTGCAACTCAAAGGTAGTAGATAAAATTGAGTAGAATGTTAACTCATCTAGGTGAAAAGGCGCCTACAATAGAGGTTACATGAAGTGGATATACGTCGGTGGTATATGGCGTTCAATTCATAGTCGGAGAGTGGCTGATCGGGTGCTTGATCAAGTGGCTGATCAAGTGGCGACCCAAATTTGAATCAAAGGTAATGATAGACAAAGTTTTATTGTTGTGCTGCACTCGATAAAAACAAACCTAATAGTCCACTCCTTTCGTAGCAACTGCACACTCATGGAGCCCTACATCTCAAGAACCTCCCCTTTCCAGTCCTGCACAGACCAGTTACTGATGTAAGTGCACAGTGCGACACTATGACCTTTAATTTGGACTATATATGTTGGACTTCTGATGCCTGCAGTATGCATTTAATGCGTGTGCAACTAAGGGACGACCCATTTGATAAGAAGTATGACAGCGGTTTCCTTATTTCCTGATTATCTTCTTTGAAAATGATACTATGAGTAGCAGAAACAAAGTTTTGGGTCTGTCACACTGTCAGTGTCGTGCCCTTGTTAGAAAGTCACTTTTTAACTCACAATCAACGCGTGTTGTGTACTGGCGTGTTGTGTACTGGCGTGTTGTGTACTGGCGTGTTGTGTACTGGCGTGTTGTGTACTAGCGTGTTGTGTCACTGACTATATCCCCATGTCTCAAACATCACATCAAGTATCTTCATATATTTCAGTTTTCAGTGTATACTAAATAAGTCCATGTCTAAGCGTTTTGAACGCGCTTCGTATTACTGGGGTGTCGGGTCTATTCCAGCTTCAGGCGATTTGGCAGCAGACCGCCTTGCTTTGGTTTCATTAGTGGAGCCGCAAGCCGAGTGTCCAGAAAACAATGGCAAACTACTCGTTGAAAATTTGTCTCGAAAAACGACAACAGCCATACACTCATAAAATGATGGGGATGGTTCTGCGACGTCCTGTAAAGGATATGGGGAGAAAATAGCAACCATCAAGTTATCGTTAATTAGTTTTTCATTCCTACAACAAAGCAAGTGGTTGTGTTTTCATGGTAATATGTAATAACAACTTTACGATTCATGTACAAAACCAAATGCAACTAAAAGAGTTAAAACAGAAAATTTTTTTTTTTTTATTTCAAAGCCAGCCACAGAAATCAAGCCGACATCTTCTTGGCAACAGAGGCGGTGTTGTCAGTGCATGCACAGTACAAATGATCATTGGGTTTATAGTGAAGTAGTATTGTAGCTAACAAGAATGTCTTTGCATTGGAATGAAACCCACAGGGGCATAAGAATAAAGGAAAGCCAAAAAACACATGGAGAAGAGAGCTGAAGAATGAAGTTAGAAAGATGGGGAGGACATGGGGAGAGCTCCATGCAATAGCAAGGATACAACGACTTGGCGTGAGTTGGTTGAGGGCCTATGCTCCATTGGGGGATAGAAAGGCAGAAGAAGAAGAAGTATTGTAGCTACTAATGGGTAGACGTGCAGATAAATTTAAAGAGCCACGTGTATGATTGTTTTTCTAGTTCATGTTAGTCTTTACGCGTATACGACCGCAAGTTACCCCTGGCCGGTGTGGCTGTTAACCGCAAGTTACCCCTGGCCGGTGTGGCTGGTAACCGCAAGTTACCCCTGGCCGGTGTGGCTGTTAACCGCAAGTTACCCCTGGCCGGTGTAGCTGTTAACTTCAAGTTACCCCTGGCCGGTGTGGCTGTTAACCGTAAGTTACCCCTAGCCGGTGTAGCTGTTAACTTCAAGTTACCCCTGGCCGGTGTGGCTGTTAACCGTAAGTTACCCCTGGCCGGTGTGGCTGTTAACCGCAAGTTACCCCTGGCCGGTGTAGCTGTTAACCGCAAGTTACCCCTGGCCGGTGTGGCTGTTATCCGTAAGTTACCCCTGGCCGGTGTGGCTGTTAACCGCAAGTTACCCCTGGCCGGTGTGGCTGGTAACCGCACGTTACCACTGGCCGGTGTAGCTGTTAACCGCACGTTACCTTTGGCTGGTGTGGCTGTTAACTGCAAGTTACCCCTGGCTGGTGAAGCTGTTAACCACACGTTACCTCTGGCCGGTGTAGACGTTACAGCTGTCCCAATTATAATATCTTTGGAGGTTAAACAAGGTATCTGGGACCTGTCTCTCTGGTCTGACATCCAGAGTGGGCTGTCTCAATCTCACGCTGGTATGGTAAACCCTAAGTAGAGGCCCGGGGAGGGGGTAAAAGGGGGGTGCGGGCAGTGTACCCGATCGATGCAGTCTACTCCGTGTGGTATTGGTAATCAGATCTGTCAACCACCTTCTGACGCGGGTACAGCCAATCACATGTGACATGTGTGTTTTAGCGCATCTTGATGCCAGAGGGCTCAACATTTCTCTCTTGTCGCAAAACCCACAACCGGTTTGCATAACAGATCAGTGCAAAATGTCTGAGCATCGTAGATTCTTTAATCGAGAAAAAATGCATTGATGGCTTGGCAACGTTAATAGAGTGCAATAAGAACACTGACATGATTTGTAATTCCGGTAAATGCGTGGAATGGCGAACCAAAACAGTCCGTGCTTGTCAACAGAGTACGTGATGATGATGATGATAATGATGATGGTTTTTGGTGGTGATAATGACGCTAGAGATGATGATGATGGTGACGATGGTAATAATATTGAGGATGATGATCATTGTGATGATGATGACGACGATGATGATGGTGATGATGTTGGTGGTGGTAGTGGTAATGTTACACTATAAAGTACAGTTTTAATTTGCTTTCTGTCCTGCACTTACAGACGAGGATTGCCTGGAGATGAGGGAACAGTTCTCCTATAAATGGAACGACTTTGAATGTAATCAACTCAACAGATTTGTCTGTGAGATCAGGTCAGTAATCAATTCAACAGATTTGTCTGTGATATCAGGTAGGTAATCAACTCAACAGATTTGTCTGTGAGATCAGGTCAGTAATCTATTCAACAGATTTGTCTGTGAGATCAGGTAGGTAATCAACTCAACAGATTTGTCTGTGAGATCAGGTAGGTAATCAACTCAACAGATTTGTCTGTGAGATCAGGTAGGTAATCAACTCAACAAATTTGTCTGTGAGATCAGGTCAGTAATCTATTCAACAGATTTGTCTGTGAGATCAGGTCAGTAATCTATTCAACAGATTTGTCTGTGAGATCAGGTCAGTAATCTATTCAACAGGTTTGTCTGTGAGATCAGGTAGGTAATCAACTCAACAGATTTGTCTGTGAGATCAGGTCAGTAATCTATTTAACAAATTTGTATGTGAGATCAGATCAGTAATCATTGTCCATGTTTCGTTCAGTAACTAAACATTCAGCCATTTCTTTATCACTGACAATTGAAACACATTTACCGTATTACTAAAAGGAGCGGCTGACCGAACTCTTAAGGCCAAAAGGCTTTCATGTGAGGGAACCCCCGTCAAATCTTAGATAAGGTTATGAATATTTGTGGGGGGGGGGGGGGTGTGTGGGAAGAGGGAGGCAAAAATACAATTTTAACCTGCACAGTCTGTGGCCACAGAAAAAGCCATGCCGCCTGACATCCCCAGGCGTATAGATTTCACCTCCCCCTTTTTCTACGCCTTCGCTGCGACAGTGGTAGTTACAGGTAGTAATTGCAGTTTTTGGCAGTGTGCTTCTAAAACATGATTGTATAAATATTGTTATATACTCACATTCAACAGCTTCTCTTTCGGTCGGCCTCTGCCTCCTTTTTCCTCCAACTTCCCCACTGTCACAAAGTACTCCTCCTGTTCTTTCTCTCATGCCATTACCAAAGAATGAAGACTGTTTCCTTCTGATGTGGACAATTCGCTCTCTTTGAGTCCGCCTCTTTCAAAACATCTTCATTACTCTTTTTTGTATCTATCCTATGTATTCGTATAATTTATTTATAAAACCATATCTCGGCAGCTTCCACATAACTTTTCACTATGAAGTCGTAAACATGTGTAACTAGGTGTCTAAAACAATTGTAGGTCTATGTTCCAAACATTTGTAACTAGGTGTCTAAAACAATTGTAGGTCTAAGTTCCTAACATTTGTAACTAGGTGTCTAAAACCATTGTAGGTCTATGATCCAAACATTTGTAACTAGGTGTCTAAAACAATTGTAGGTCTGTGTTCCAAACATTTATAACTAGGTGTCTAAAAATATTGTAGGTCTATGTTCCAAACATTTGTAACTAGGTGTCTAAAACAATTGTAGGTCTATGTTCCAAACATTTGTAACTAGGTGTCTAAAACAAATGTAGGTCTATGTTCCAAACATTTGTAACTACGTGTCTAAAACCATTGTAGGTCTATGTTCAAAACATTTGTAACTAGGTGTCTGAAACCATTGTAGGTCTATGTTCCAAACATTTGTAACTAGGTGTCTAAAACAATTGTAGGTCTATGTTCCAAACATTTGTAACTACGTGTCTAAAACCATTGTAGGTCTATGTTCAAAACATTTGTAACTAGGTGTCTGAAACCATTGTAGGTCTATGTTCCAAACATTTGTAACTAGGTGTCTAAAGCCATTGTAGGTTTATGTTCCAAACATTTGCAATTCAGTGTCTTAAACAATTGTAATGCTCTGTCTCAAACATTTATAAGTATCTGTCTTAAACACATGTAATTCTTTGTCTCAAAATGTATGTTTCCTGGTTTAAACATTTGTAAGTGTTTTTTTTTTTTTTTTTTTAAATTTATTATTCAGTGTCCGAATCCTGTGTAATTCTCTGTGTTAGACATTTGTAATTATATGTCTTAAACATATCTAAATTATTTTTCTTAAACGTTTGTAATTCTGTGTCTTAAACATCTGTGATTATCTGTTTGAAGCCTTTCTAATTCTATGTCTGAAACATGTACAATTCAGAGTCGTAAACGGTGCATGCTTTTCTACATCCCAGATCGCAGCCACTGGAGGACTAAAGATCATAGACCAAACAATCTGCACCATATCAAGGGAAGTAAGATCATCCGTCTCTAACTTCCATGGAGACCAACAAATGAACGTTTCTCCTGATCAAGAATTTATTGACACACTAGAGGGAAGGCCAGCAGGTAGAATGTAGACAGACAGCTTTACAAGAAGAATATTGACATCAAGAGATGAACGAACATCAGTCTGAGGGTACACAACCAAGGAGAGACAGGACGCCTCAGAGATCTATTGCAGCCAACCTTTATTGTGTACACGGCACATGAAAGAATCCTGTGTGAATTATAATCAAACAAATTATCAAGTCAGAGTTTTGTGTTGAGTGTTTAAACGTTACTTGTTTATGTTGCTCATTATGACTAATTGTTGCGCAGTTTGTCTTACTCCCTAAAAGTTGTGGGAGGTAATTGCTATTATTCTTCTTCTTCTTCTGTGTTCCCCGACGGTTAAGCTCCGGCGGAACGCCCTGGTTGTTCGTCCATTTGGATTTTGACTTTATGCCAGCGCCTGAGTTTTGCGTGTACATCCGTTTTACTGGCTTATTTGTGTGCAGTTGGTTGTTTCCTTGCCACTGGGGCATATTTACACCGACTTCAACGGAAGTCCGCAATTAGTCGACTCCTACGACATGCTTGTTGGGGAAGCAGTAGGTCTTATCTTCTTTTCCAGCCCAGTGGGACCCTGGGTTAGTGTTAGGTTAGTCGGTTTCTCTGCGGCAGTCAGGGCTGACGAAGTTGTGTGAGGTTCGTGCCAGGACCCTCAAGCGTTCTAGTGCTTTTGTCTCATCAATTTATAACTTTCAGTTTTCATTTGAAATTGTAGCCTCCCGCTCTTCATATTCCTCCTCCTCTTCTTCTTCTTTTTCTTCTTCTCCTTTTTTTCCTGCTGTTTCTTGTTTCTTCTTCTTCTTCTTCTTTTTCTTCTTCTTCTTCTTCTTCTTCGTATTATTATTATTATTATTATTATTATTATTATTATTATTATTATTATTATTATTACTGTTATTATTATTATTATTATTATTATTATTATTATTATTTTTCTGCTTCTTGTTTTTCTTTTTCTTCTTCTCCTTTTTCTTCTTCTTCTTCTTTTTCTTTTTTTTTTCCCTTCTTCTTCTTCTTCTTCTTTTTCTTATGCTTCTTGATTTCTCCTTCTCCTGACCAATTATCCAGACGAAAGCTATTTTCCTAATTAACTCAAAGTTTCGTCAATAACTGATCCTCTTACTAATTACCACAGCAAATGCATTGAACAATCTCCAGCCTCTACCTTTTTAAAAACCTATCAATGCCCTTTGATCTTTTCCCTTGTTATATCAATTTCATCGGCCAGCGCTCCACGACAATTGATCCGTTTATTAATTAAACGAGTAAATTCGTTAACGTGCTTTTGGTTTGCACATACACATCTCTGTGTGTCGAGTGAAGAACGAACTTGTATCCGTGAGTTTGCGTTTTATTTTTAAATATAAAATTTGTTGCAAATCATTTGTCATCATTGGTCAGGAGATACTTTACAGAACGTCGCTCTCCTCATGGCAAGCCCGATAGGAACTCTTTCTCCAGATAATTCTCAAGCTCCATGTGAATTCACAACCAGTGCATCTTCAATGTCATGTATCCATTTTCTCGGAGGTCTGCCTCTGCTTCGTCTTCCAGAAACGGCACCCTCCTTCATCGTTTTCGCCAGCTTACAATGAAAGTTTAACCAGACAAAATTAACTCAGTTGTTTAAATTGTTTGTATAGTCGGCGCTGTCATCATTGTTGACACCTAGACAATGTTGTCTGTTGCGAATTCAGCTGCAGGTTACTGGAACCTTAGTAAGTCAGATTTGTGACACTACATTCATGAAATTTAAGCAACAAACACAGCGTTTTCTTTTTCATCATCATCATCTTCTTCTAGTTCTTCTTCTTCTTCTTCTTCTTCTTCTTCTTCTTCTTCTTCTTCTTCTTCTTCATCTTCTTTTACTTCTTCACGTTCACCGGCGGTAAACAAAGGTAAAGAGTTCTGTTGTTCGATCATTTCTGGCCGTTATGGATGTTCCAGCTTACTTGTATGCAGACTGTTGGTTTTCCGCCGCTCTGACTTTGGAGGGAAAATGTCTAAATAGACGCCTTTTACGATGCGCTATCTCGCCTAGCCTCTCTCCCCACCTCCTCCCCTTCCTCCCAGCCAAACTGGGGGCCAGAAATCTCATGGGTAGGACAAGACTATTTTAAAGTATAACAGTCTGTTTTTATAGTAGTTTATGGTTGCATCATTATCCTCATCATCGCCATCGTCACGTCTTCTTCGCGGCTATGACAACCACTATTAGGTATTCCTTTAGAATTAAAGCATTGTTATTGAAGAACTTCAATGCAGACGCTGCGTTCTTTATTACCTACACTTCTAGTGCGGACTGGGTCGACCCAGGATAAACGGGTAGTTGGTGAACACACCACACTTCTAGTGCGGAGAAGTAACTGCCACAGGGTGTTGTTGAGCACACCACACTTCTAGTGCGGACTGGTTGTTGAACACACCACACTTCTAGTGCGGACTGGTTGTTGAAACTTAAAGTCTAACGTTGTGTGACAGCCTGCAGTCTGCAGCACTTATAAAAGAACACACTCCCCCCCCCCCCTCTCTCTCTCTCTCTCTCTATATATATATATATATATATATATATATATATATATATATATATATATATATATATATATATATATATATATATATATATATATATATATATATATATATATATCACTGGTAAAAGAGGCAGACCAAGAGAAATGAAAGTGGATGGTTTAAGACAGTGGCATGGAGGAATTGATCCAGAACACCAAAAACCGAGATCTGTGGAGTTGGGTGAAGGCCTACGCAAGCTGACAGGGCACTTGATGATGATGATTGTATGACAAATCCTCGAAACCCATGAAATCGGGTCATCAATGGTTTGTTTCTTGTCATCTTACTTGTACACGGCTGATACTCAAGATCAGCTAACCCCAGCCATGTCGACTAAAGCCCATAACTTGTATGTAGGCCCTGGTACTGTGCTTCCACTGTAGAGGGTAGAATGGGTTAACAATACAAACATGGGACAGAGGATGAGTTCACTAACCTGCAGGCCACACAACATAACCGGGTAACCTAATTTCGAGTGTACTGTCAACATTTCGATATTTGGCGGGGTATATGCACTTTCAGATTGTCTTCAAGGATACGACTGTTTTGCTACCCCCCCCCCCTTCCCCCCCCCCCCACATTCTCCAAGGAACGAGGAACAGTTAGTCGGAAAGAAAACTTTTCTTATGTCCCTGCAAACATTATGTTCTATTTGCCTCGCTTACTTGAAAACGGTTGCAGATATTTTTATAAACGAGCCAAGTCGTGCATGACTATACATAGGTCGATTTCGTGTAAAGATATATCCTTTGTACTTTCAGCTTTCTTCATATATTCTTCGTACTTTAAACTATCATAGATATTTTGTTTATAATATACAAGGTTAAAAAAAAAATCTTGTAAGCAGAAGATCAGTGTGGCTAGTCTTTGAGGCCTAGTTAAAGTGTGTAATGTGTAGGTCAGGGGGTGGTGGGGGGTAAAATGTCAGCAGTGATCTAAATATTTTTCAAATCTATCATCATCTTGACTATACGCTCCGGCTGTAAACTCCGGGTTGTTCGTTCATTTCTAGACTTCAGTCTTGTCGTAAAACTGGAGTTTTGCCTGCAAATCCGGTTTACAGATGTGGGTTTTTTCTAAGCAGACTGTTGGTTCCTCGCCTCTCAGACAGATGCTCTCCAACTTCAAATAGAAGAACGCCTACTTAGTCAACTTCTACGACATGCTTGATAGAGAGGCAGTAGGTCTATTCTTTTTTACCCGTAGTTGAGTATGTGTTTACTTTTCGGTACAAAACATACATGCATACACACACGCGCACTCGCACACACACACACACGCACATGCACACACACACACACACACACGCATCCACCCACACACACACAAATAAGTAAGTCTGCAGAATCGTCATGATCAGTTTGGTGTGACAGGGAATTAATATTGAGGATCCTTCTTCCCAGTTTGAAGCTCCCTTATAAAAACTTTGATTAAAACGTTTGAGTGCTTCTGTTCGCCCCCCCCCCCCCCCCCCCCCTTATTTTTCGAACTTCCCCACTCGCAATTGCTTCATGGATAATTCAGTGAAGCCATGTTATGGTGAACGAGCAGTGGGTCGATACATCCTAGGCGAGCGAGACTGAACCTCTCCCTCTTAGACCGCATGCTGCGCGATTAACCTACGCTGACCCTAAGGGCCTCTATTCGGACGAGAATACCCCAGGTATAAATCCCAAAAAGCCGGTTCAACCTTAGAGTTATCCGTCGGCCCCCAAAAGGTTACAATTAACCTGATGACCAGGTCGGTTAAGTAAATAAAATGACCCGATTACACGCCTTTAAACGTACTGGGCACATAGGGCTAGACCTATACTGCATAGGCCGATTGGCACTTGGTGGGTGATGTAGGCTTTTACTTTCCAGGTCTTTACCTGGTAGCAATGTCAGGCTGGCTCGACCTCTAATAAAAATCATTATTGACAAAAATGCCGGCTTCGTCAGAACTGAAACCACGGCCCTCTGATCCGCAGGCCAGTGTCTAGCGTCTGCACCACGGCGGCTCCTGGATTGGAAAAGGTGTTTGGTAAATACTTGTCAAACTGGAAGCTCGGGAACCCACGCTAAGCTCGCGTTCTGTAGCGATTCACGTGACCTTGACCCCAAAGCGCCTGTTTAGCAGCAGCCTTTGTGACACCCTATCCTGTTTTTGTTTAGGTTTACCAAGAAAATATGACCTACATATTTCTACAAGGTTCTGTTAAGGATGTGACCTGTTTGTTTACTGTTTTTGCTTCTGTGTGTGATTTCAAATGATTTTTGTCATAACACCGCTCTTCAAATATGACGTGTCCGCATGTTGATTGAAAGGT